CACACGGACATATATGCAATGATTCATTCACCGAAATATGAGAGGTAAATCAAGTACAAAGTATTCTCTCAATCTATATACATTGTTGATGCTCAGAACAAAAGCTACCCCGCATCACGTCACTTTGGAGAAGCTACCCCACTGACTCGCAACATCGACGTCGGCCATAACGACATCTCAACGTGCTTAGTCTGGAACAATGTTGTAGACAACTAACAGAAAATCCCAATTTCTCCATAGTAGCCGAGACTATACCCAGCACATCCCCAAAACATCGCAGAGTACCGTGGCATCGTTTTCAAGCCGCACAATGCCATCCCCAAGCTTCCCACCCGAAGAGCTCCGGCTGATAGTTCAAGAGGTGGCTACTCTTCTCAAGGAGCGCAAAGAAACAATCTCAGTTGCAGAAACAGTCTGTGTACCCTTTACATCTACCAATAGATGTGTGATACACACCCAAAGCTAACTAGACACCACTTCACAGGTAGCAGGCGGCCTCATCTCTGCAGCTCTTCTGTCTTTTCCCGGCGCATCATCCTACTACCTTGGCGGACTAACCCTCTACACCCTCGAATCGCGCATTGCGTTTGCCGGCTGGACCCAAGAAACAGTCTCTGGGTACAGCGGCCCTACACCAGCCGTTGTCTCAGGGCTAGCCGAGCACACGCGCAGCAAGTTGGGCAGCACGTACGCTGTCAGCGAGAGTGGGACTGCAGGGCCCACGGGTGGCAGCACCAGGAACCGCACACCGGGATATGTGGCTCTTGCAGTGGCACGCGAGGGTGGAGACACGGCAACGAGAGAGGCAGAGACCGGAAGCTCAGAGAGGGAAGGCAACATGGTGGCTTTTGCGGTTGAGGCGCTCAAGCTGGTTAGAGATGTCATCAAAGCGGACGGCGGCAAGCTGTCATGATCAACATTGGGCAATGGACTAGACAAAGTGAGTAATTCGTGCGAGGGCACATGTGCGTGTGTACCGAGTACATGGTTGAAGGGTGTACGTCTGGATTAAACCAACGTTCTGGATAGGGAAAACACTGTGTGAAACTGACTGACCCTCACACTCGGATGTGGCTCGTTTCGGTCTCGCACATACAATCCTTTACTGAAGGTGGTATGCTGTAGCGAAATTATCCGATTGATCGGTATCAGATTATTAATCGCCCACATCCTTCGCTTGCTCATACGCGTTTGATATCCGTGGGGTGGTTGTGTGTGTGATGCCGAAATTCTCCTTTGGTTCCCACATTTTCCCCTTTCTGTTGTTCACGCCGCGTAAACGCAACAGGATCTATCCCGACCCAGCTCATCGGTGTCACACCACCACAACCACTTGGTAACCGAGTACCGTTCTTTGAAGCGAGAAACACGCCTGCCGCAATCACACACGTACTTTACCGATGTATGTGCCGTGTTCTGCTTCCTTCCGTGGCCATGTGTTCCCGTGCATTTGGCTGGCTCGGTTAAGCGGCCCAGATCCTGCCATGCACCGTCCACGATAATGTGGCGTGCAAAGCGGCACAGCGTTATTCCCTCCATCCCCTTTGCTTTCTTCCTTTCTTCCACCATACGAGCGCTGCCAAGATTAGGGAGGTTCAGCCATCCCTTACATACTACTACTGACGTCGAAAAATCCGCTGCCGAGACATACACACCTGCACATGCGCACGCGACAAAGGAGGATTTTCTTTTCGCCCTCGCCCTCCCCCCACGTCTTTCATGCTCCAGTTTTCCAAAGGAAGGGCAAGGGAGGATACATGTCCCGGGAATTATTAGGCGCCATGTGTGATTGTCTGCAGCCCTATGTCGAACTCCTGTTGCTGCAGGATCTGAAGCTGAAGGATTCTTTTAAGGGGGGGTTTCACCACTCAAATAGCAACCCATTATATCAGTGCCCCCCACGCGGCTAGATTTACCCGACAAAGGATTCGTGATAAGTGGATTCGGGGCTGTTGACCGGGATTATTTTGAAATTGGGATGCCTTGTTGGTGAACAGCGGGGTTAGCGATGGAGGGTCGCGTGGTGAAATGCGTGAGAAGAGCTGGGATTGTATGGGGAGAAAGAAACGTTGGTTGTTATGTGGAGTTTACATTTTTGTCAGTCAGGGATCTCAGACTACTGGAAATAAGTGAACAAATGAGTCATCTGTATGCTAGGCATCTCGTGGGCTTTGGGATAGTTGGTTTATCCCCTTCTCCAACAGAGGAAAGCCCTTCTTCTCAAGTACTGAGCATAACCGATGGCATGACAAATTCCAAATTTGTCATGAGGTATATACGCATTCTAAAAAGAGAGGAGTCATGACATAAGAAACTATTCATATCCTAGCATAGAAACAAATGAAATCTAATGAAACGCTACTTACTTTGGAAATCTTTTATCCCTTCTTCTTCATCCTCCTCAAAGCAAGTCCAAGTGCCATTAGATTAAACAAACACAGTGTTCTTATCATCAAGTCATTTTACATTCTCACATGTACCCAGTACAAAGTACCCCCCTACTCAAGGAGTCCCTATGTCCGGTCTCTTCCGAATTGCCTTACCTACTTACTTATTAGCATCGCTTGACATTTTTCACTCTATTTGCTATATAGCGTATCAGATTAATTATCTTAGAAAAGAATAGCAGGCCACACCC